TTTTAGTCTTTTGATATCATTTCAGACTTACAAACAACTTGTAGTGCCCTTTTAAACAAAAAGCTTCATTTTTTTATAGATTGTACTAGTGTTTTAGTTTCATCTCATTTTGAGCAAAAAAATATTGAAAATCCGACATCATGATATTTTAGACCATTCAAAAATTCTGATGCAACAGCAGCTTTTTTTCTTTTCTGTAAGCTAAAAATTGGATTTTTTAAATCAACTGTGCAAGCAGTTGTTGTTTTTTTAAATACACCGTTTTTACAACTATTCACTATTAATAGTAACAAACATGGCTATTTAGTAAGGGAGACGACTATTTACCATATTTTTAACACATTTATGCAAACGGTTTTAGATTTTTTGGCAAAAAAAATTTATTTTTTTACAAATTTATTGCTAAGTTAAGTAAGTTCTATCATACTAACTACTACATTTACAAAAAAAAAATGTTTACTTTTTTTTTAAAGAGAAACAATCTATTTACTGAAAATAATTTAAAACAATTAATTATAAATAGTTTTACCTATTATTGAACTGCAGTGCAGCTCAAGATACATAAATTTTTTTTTTTTTTTTTTTTTTTTTTTTTTTTTTTGAGGCTTTGAATAAGACATTGACACTTTACAAAACAATTAGATCAATTAGATAATCATTATATGACATCAGTTAGGCTACCTTCACTTTCACCTATCCCTTGGTCTGCTGGACAGTTGGGGCAGCACACATCTGTCAACATTCTTTCTTCATTGTTCTCTATCATTTGCCTTTGATAAAATTGTATTCTGATATTCTTTCTGAAAATATTGAAACCTGCCCTTTTACCTGCCTGGGTGGACCACTTCGGGGACCGATTTTTTAGTTCGACATAGTCTTTGTAACCTTGTTAAAAAATGTGATGTGATAAGTTAGGCAATGTAGCAAACAAGTAGTTTAATTAGTTTTTAACTTCAATGTTTCTTTTTTTATTACAGCTAATTACTTGGACAGTTGGAAATGCATAGCTGTGTTACAGTCCGAAACATATGCTTCTGATATAGAAAAAACTGCATTTTTGGCCCCCAGTATAGCTAGCACACCAACACCTGGCAGTTATAGATAGGACTTGAAATAGCATCTTGCTATTGATATGTATTACATTTCCACGAGATATGTTTTTTTATATAATTGTGTTTATGTCAAACACAATTCAAAGTAAATATTAAAAAAAAAAAAAAAAAAAGAATCATAATGAAACTTTGTTTTGTTGGTTTGCATTTCTTATTTTTCTAAATAGCAGTCTATATTTTAGTGGTACATAAGGTTTATTAATTAAAAGTGCTGCCATGATATATTGTATTCTAAGTACCACAATGAAAAACAAAACAAGTCCAAGTGAATGGCAGGTCAAAACATACATTATAAAAATGCTTGATGGATTAAGTAGTGCAATAATCTGTTATCATTATCATCTTGTTTCAATATATTGTAATTTTAATGCAGAAATTATTAATATTAATAAATGTATAAAAATAAATATCAACTATGGTCGAAGCCATTTTGAATGAATAGATAGGCACCCAAAAGCCTTAGGGTTACACAAAGATTTTTTTTTACTACTAAGTTTTCACTATGATTGATTTCATTGTTGGATTTATATTCATTTTATATGGACCCAGTCTGAGAAGATTAAACTACAATCAACTGAACAGTGATATTGTGTCCCTTCTGTGTGTACTACATGTATTCATAAGTGTGTGCAACATATAGACACAAACTGACTAAAATCTATGAAATGATACAAATTCATTTCAACTGGCAATTAGCTCCACAGTTCATATTCACCATTGCTAGTACTACTTGTGGAAAGACAATGAAGGAAGGAAACCATAGCATCTTATACATTTATTGATACAACTTAAGACACATTTGTTCATTGAGAACTTGTATGGTAGTATGTACCCCACACACTTGCCCCTCTGTGGACACTACGCCCACCCTCTTCGTATGCTCCAATTTAGTTCACTTTATGGGGACCCTAATACAACAACCAACACTCAGTATGGCAGTGCAGTACAAATGAAAAAAAGAGCACACAGTTTTCTTGACAGACTGCAAGAGTTTCGGCAAAAAAAGCTGGCTAGAGCAATAGAAGAGGTGGAGAACTTGTATATATCTACTAAAGAATTATTCCTTATCTTATAAACTACAAACGTTACTTCAAAAAAGAGGATTACATCCTACGCAGCTAGGTCATTCTAGGCATGCTTGTTAATCAATTACTTACATTCTGCGAAGTCATTGGTTTCCCTGTCTGATTCATCCTCTAATAGCACAAGGGGAAGAACGAGTATTTGTAAAGATATGGCATTGCATATGGAAATATGAATATTTGTTTGTTATGAATCTCACTGCTCTATTTTATGTCTGTTCCAGTTTAATATTTTCTTGAGTTGAGGGGTCCCAAACAGAGGATGCATTTTCTATAAATGACCAAACCAAGGTTAAATAACATTTTAGTTTTCTTTTGTTATCAGATTAGTAGAAATGCTTTGTTTGATTTTTTTTATAGTTTCATTAATATGGGGATTCCATGATAGTTTTTCATTTACCCCTAGGTATTTTGAGTTTTTAGTCTGTGTTACTGATTTACCATGAATAAAATAAGTTTTATTTATTTTTGTAACTCTTAATAATTGACATTTTTCAGGGTGGAAATTTGATTCCCATTTCTGTAATTTACCTAATTCTCTCTGTAAAATGTCTGTATCTTGTGTTTTATTTATTGTTCTATAAATTATGCAATCATCTGCAAACTAATGCTATTTGGTAAGTTCCTTAAAGTACACCTGAATTTACTGTTATTGGTGTTGACCAGCTTTAAAAAAAGGAATCAATCCAAATAATAATAGTATTGTTATTATTCTTGGAAAGATGAACATAAAGCGGTAGCATGATCAATAATGAAGTCTTGATGCAGATTTATCAACATGCTATTATATTCATAGACTGCATACAATTAAATGGAAAAAAATGAGATGCCTAAACGTGTTACTATAGTAGGTACAGTGACTGGGCAAATTAAAATTTGGAACTTAATTATCAGTGTTTAGATTAATTGTGCTAATCAGTAATAGAGATACAGTATTTCAAATTTGTTTTCCTTTCATAAGGAAAGGGATACAATTTATTTTATATTGGCCAACACCAAGAATTTTGTTTTTCTTAGAAATTTTTTCGAAAGTAATTTATCAAAATGTATCTAATTTTACTGTCTTAATGGAAACTTTTTTTTCCCACTTATCATTATGTGTAAACAAAGTAGATGGAATCTTTGTATCTTGTAAGTTAAAATCATAAGAAACTGTTTGAGCAAATTGTACTTTCTGCCATTTAGATTTATGAACTGGAGTAAAAGTTGCCATAGTTATTTTATTAAAGTTACAATTTATAATTCTAAATTGACATGTTTATTTAATTCTTTATGACACCAAAACAGAAATAGAAAAAGTGTCATAACAGAAAGTTAAAGCAATTCACACAGGCTCCAGCTACAATAGCATGTCCAGTATGCAGCACTTCATCAGTCGCGTTGAGAAAGTCTGAATTGGTCTGCCAAGTCCCCCTAAACGAAAGAAGTGGTCATCATCAAATTTGAAGATCCAAATATATATATATATTTAGTACAAAGTATAGTCAACACTACTAGGGAGCAGGTATGTGAGATCTGTAGCATTATAGTTCTTAGCACTCACTGATAAACAGCAGTTTTTTTTTATGATTCACTGAACTATTTTTTTGTTGTGTTTATTAGTACCAGTATTTCATACTCCATACTTAATCTTCAAGCTCAGCCTTACATGAAATCTTAGAATTAGCACTAAAGAATTGTATTCAATTAGTTCAAAACTACAAAATATTGTAAATGGTTCAGATAATCAAAACTTGTAAATGTATTAGTCTACATTTACAATTAATACAGCTTTTACGTTCTTTGAGTTATTTATTATTCATACTAAAGATAAAAATGTTACAAACTGGAAAAACAATTCATAGACTGAAACTTACTATACTGAGTATTTTACCTTAACTGTGTCAGACTGATTCTGATTGGTACTACTTTATTTTCAATTTTTAGGATTCTATTTAAGTGGTCTTCCTTCTACAAGTCAATATGTTTGTTATGGATGTTAAATAAATGTTTTCTTGTATTTGTGTGTTAATGAAATTGTTGTACCACTACAGTACTTTTGGTTCTTATTGAGTGAAGTATCTGGTACATGTTAACATACTGTATTAAACGTTTATAAAAAGTAATACTCATACTAGTATTCAATTACTACTACATAGCATTAAGTCAAAATAAGAATAAAGAGAGATATTACCTCGGACAATCATTCTACAGCTAAATTAATGTACAGTGTTTTGTTTTTATTTGTTCCTCAATATAGAAAAAGATTCAGATGCTTGTGTTCAAGATTAACTGTAGGAAGTAATTTTATTTTTAAAACTGCTTAACAGTAAAAATGCATTTAAACAGCTCAAACATTGAATGGTATCACAGGGTACTCATTTGGTCCAAGTCTCCTTCCCCCTTCTTTTTCCCATTAATTTAACTGAAATTACTAGACATGGTTTGGCAGTGGTGAAGTAGACTATTCTGTCACAGACCTACTCTTCCAGACATTTACTATTTCTTTTTCATGGCTATATGTTCAATTTCACTTGAGCTTTACTTCTAGACTTAATGTTGCTGTATGCTTCTCTTGATGGCCTTACAATACTACACAATATCTTGACAAGTGAAAATTAGTTTATTACTGTCTTACATAATGTATTGATAATCACAATGATGGCAAAGTTCAGTGTTAGAGGATCTTCACATATATAACTATGCATGCACTTATCCTAGTATAATAAATGGACTTGATTAAAAATTAGGACTATATTTTGAAACTTTGAAGAACTGAAAAGGTTAAGAAAAGTACAATCAAACAGAGACTAAAACTTGAAAATAATAAAAATTGAAAAAAAAAAAAAAAAACAATCAAAAATGAAAACTTAAATTTATTTACATTTGTTACCATCTGTACTAAAGTCAAATCTTTTGATCCAATTCTCAAGACTATACACACAAATAAAGAAATAAATAGTTAAATGCTCCCCTGCATTGTATAGGAGGGAGCAGTAAGAGATAAAAAGTTAGACTAATTCTTTCAATCATCTTGATCACAGTTCTCTAGAAAATCACTCAACAGAAGGGAGGTCTCTGTCCTAATGTTAACATCATAGACAGAAGTTAAAAAAAAAAAAAAAAGCATTATCAGCACACTTTGATTGTACAGTCCCATCATGAAACATTCAGAGAAGATGGACTAAAACAGTGAGTGAAGAACAGGAAGGACTGCTCAACATGTGCACTAGATCAGATTAACACTTACCCAATCCTAGCCAAACAGACTTTGGGGAATTGCTGATGCTATAAAGTGACTTTAAGAAACACTGAATTCTGTTGAACATAGATAAGTATAGACATGGATTGTCTTCTCTATTTCTGGGTAATTGTATGCTCACATAGATTTGATAGAACTACTTTCTGTATTATGTGTATGCTTAAACTACAATTATTTACATGATCAATAAAAGAAACATGCCAAATATATTTTAGTCACAAAATAAAAAGATCCTTTTTTTTTTATTTCATTTAGAAATGACTTATGATAGCAGACACACTTTTTCTCCAATTGCAGTAATGAGTAACTAATTTTCAATCAAACTTTGATCATTGAAATTTAATAGAATAGGAAATATCTTTTTTTCAACAAAATTGAAATGTAATTCATGTCCTTACTTGTTTAAAACTGAGTGTTATTGGCATGTCTGGTTGCAGTACTAGTCTCTTTAAGAATGTGAACCTGTCAATTTCTCCCAAAAAAACATTTCAAAAGAAAGTAGACAAAATATTCAACACATTTGTTGACAACTTTATATAAATAGTATAGATTCCATGTCAATACATATTTATGCTTCCATCACACTCAGTTACAGTTTAGTAACAGGATTTAAGATCAAATACAAATACTGCTTCATTGAATTTCAAATGTATACCCTATGAAACCATTCTATAAGGTTGCTTGTCTTTTTTTTTTAATTTCATTTGGTTTTGTATTTCTGTGAAGTCAGTTCACAACATTCATGATTTTAATCAGAGTACTTTTGTTCAACAAAGTATTCCTGGGATGAATAAAATTGGGGCGAGAAACAAAATCCCCCATCCTCCAAAGATAGTAAGAGAAATAGAAATGTGCTTCTGAATTAAAATTTAGAGAACACGTTTCATGTGAATATGGCACAATTGTTCATTGTTCCATTTTATTAGTTAATCATTGTTGAAATATGAAACTAATCTGCAATGTATGCATGACAAAAAGAATAAACAATGCTTTGAAGTTAAAAAGAAAAAATGGAACTATTTAAATCTAGCTACAAAAGAAAAATGTTACAGTCTAATTGTCCTAAGGCAGTCTTTTGGTCCACTAACTTGTACCACCAGGTATACACTGAATGCTTTCATAAAGAGATATTTCTTGAGAATGAAGCATGTTCTCACTAGCAGAAGGTTTTATACACATTTACACACACACTTGTGAAATATAGATCTTTTCTGATTATCTTTGACAAGTAGAGGCACAAATTAGAAAACATTGGAAATTAAAGCCAAATACTGACAACCAAAAGTACTGTGTGTATTTGCTTGTCTGTGGGGTGTGTGTGTGTAAATATGTCTATATATAAATATATATTGAGATCACAATATATGTTGTTGTTTTAGTTTGTTTTTGTTTTTTTAATAAAAAAAAAATAAAATAAAACTAACATGTCTATTTGTTTCAATCAATGAGTTTAAAATGATATTTTAATCGACTATTGATACTAGTAGGTAATAGCAATCATCATCTTTTTGAAATAATCAAGTAAAAAACAAAGGTTTAAAATAATATTAAATGTAACAATTTGTTTTAAAAACCTAAGAAACAATAACAATCAAACAAACAGCAAACAGAGAATACGATAAAATCCAGCTGAGCAGTTTCATCAGGACAAGAACATTTGTCCATAGGAAGGTTGGTTATTTCAATCAAATTATTGTTTTTTTTTAAGGGGATTGATGTTTTGAAGCTATATATATGTACACATATATATATACACATATATGTATATATATATATACACATATATGTATATATATATGTATATATATATGTATATATATATATATACACATATATGTATATATATATATATATAATCTACACACAAGCATAATCGAATTAACACATCTATTAATGTGTATAATCACATACATACATTGGTAAAGAAAAGAATAGTCTCAACAGATGTACAAGTCTAGAATTACATACAAGCAACTGATGTCAATCAGGTTTGCAGAAATTCATTAGAAAAAAAATAAAATAATAATAATAAAATAAACTATGCTTACAAATCAAGAAGTATTCACCAGTCTATCACACTTGATGTTAAATATTTGCCAGCAGTCAACCACATGGACCAAGTCCAATAATTTTGTGTTAAATTGTGTGTTTTGTTTGAATAAGACCTTATTCATTCTTCCATGCACTATGCTGTATCTCTATTTACACAAATATAGAGTAGAGATAGATAGGAGTAATCAATTTGAAAGATTCAAAATAAATCAATACCAATTTAACCAAATGCAAATCAACACAAGCTTTAAGCATGTAATAATGGTTTGGGGTAGGAGGGGTGAATCAAATAATTTACAGAAACTACAACAATACTTCAATTGGTCAATTGTTTAATGTAGTTGCATCTTCTAGTATGCACAGTCTTCTTAGTCTTCCATGAAGACTTACAACTGTAGCGACCAGGATTTTTTTCAACGTATAAAAAAATTGAATGACCAGGAGCATCTTTAGATCCTTTCAAACTATGGTTCATATACAACCCCTATATTGGCTGAAGAGTCCATTGACTACCTTCACTGGATGACACATAAAAAAAAAAACAGATGCTAGCATCTAACATGAGAGTTAGGTGTGACATTTATTCAATTCATAGAGTTTCAGTTGGTTGTCAGAGAACATTCACTGACACCTCCACACAATAAAACAATGTGAAAGTATAAAACACATTTCTCTCCCTCATTGTGCTCCTAACTTTTGGCAAAGAAATAAAATGATGGTAGCTACATTTAAAAAATAAAAACTGTGGAATTAAACTGTGTTTACTTATGATTACATTGTTATTGAAGTACAAAAGGTTATTGTTACTATCTCTTAGCATTCCATTCTAATTGTTGAGCATTGACTAAACATCCATAAACCAGATCAAATGTCAGAGTCCACAACAAACATAATAACATCAACTGAAAGCAGCACAATACATCCTCACACCTGTGTCTCACTAGCTCTGATAGAGATTGTTTGTACTTGATTTATACTATATAGGTAGCATAGTCTAAGCGGCTAGAAGGTGCCACACTATCACATATATCACATCAGTTGTCGCAATGCCTCACTGCCTCGTGGCAGCAGCAATAATGTCATTGTCAGTAATAATATTAAGCCCTCAGCCTTGCCAGAAAATGTTTTATTTTTTTAAAGACTCCAGGATGGTAGCCCAGAATAATTTCTCTTTGTTTAGTAAGCAGGACCAACAAATGAGGTTTTCAGCTGTATGGCAAGGCAAGGGAGAGGGACGGAAGAGAGTCACTGGAAGCGCCGAGCCCCTTTCACAGCCAGCCTTTCTGCTTCCATCCTCTTGAGACGGTGGCGTACATCCTTGAATTCAAACAAACAGAAACACACACACGGCCAACAAAAAGCAGAGATGCATCACAATAGAAAATAGTAGTTCAGCAATTGAGCTGGCCAAAATCACAGAAGCTCATATTGTCGTAGGTGCATTCGCTGAATGATATCTCTACAGTCGTCAAACACTCTGCGAATATTTTCTGTATCAACTGCACATGTAAAATGAGGATAGCAATAGTGCCTACCATCTCCACTTGCTGTGCTGATTCTCTGTAAAAAAAAATGTATTATAAAAGTTATTTACTACACACACAAAACTTTATACAATTATTTCAAGAAACTGATAATATGTATTTTGTTCCAGAGTGTACAGTACATTAAATTAAATTTAAAGGTAAATATTAAAAGAAAATACATACCAAAAATTCATCCCTAATAAAATACTTTGCTCTGACTACCTCAGGGTCATCTCCCGGTTCAGATGAGGCTGTATCAACAAATAAATGTAAACATTAATATTCAGAGCCACTACATTTTCATCTTCTTGTTAGAATTGTTTTCACCTTGAGAGATTCAAAGCATTAAATCTAGCAAGACTGTGGAGCCTTCTGAATTGTGTGATGTAATTTGAAATTATACATTTTCACTTATATTAATTATACATCATTTCCAGCTATTAAAATTAATATACATGAACATGTCTTCATGCTGATCATCTGATGCATGCACATGATCACAATATTTAAACTAAATTGATACATTTTATCTTAATGTACAAAAAAAAAATTAACAAGAGCAAAATGCAGTTGATCGTACTATCAAAATAAGGTTATTTATAGATCTGCTGAGTAGAGGAAAAGAGTAAACCAGAAGACGCTGTCCTCAATAATTTTGTGGACATGGTTGCAAGAATAAACTTGTACACATTGCTCTCTGTGTCATTTTGGGTTTCCTATTTAGAGAGTGCAAGCAATTGACCATTGATGAAACAAACAAGTTACAAAGCAATACATATGGGCTGGTAGGTAGCAATTAACTTTTTATTTTTAATTAATAGGTTACATAAAATGGCAGGTACATGGCTCTGTTGATATTTGATAATCAATTGTGATTATGAAAAATAACAGTAGTTAACATGTGTTGACCACCAGCATTTTATGCTTTCAGAGCAATAGTATCCTCCCTTAATACCAAAAAAAATCCAATCTCAATGGTTGCAGCTCACACATAGCTTAAATAATATTGATCCAACTGATCCACTGGTACTACTGCATTTTAATTCATTGTTTTTTTTATTCAGCATTTAGATTTCAAAATATTTGATGTTACTCTAAAGAAAAGTATAAACATGAAAATGTGCTTACCATCAGGTGGTACCTGGTATCTGGCATATTCAGGGAAATAATCTTCAATCTTTGATTTTCCAGCTTTAACCTTTTCAGCTAATAGATCTTGTTTATTTAAAAACAAAATCACTGATATTGTTCTCAGCCACCTAGAGCAATCAAAAGAAAAGATTAACTATGTTGAACTGTTTCAACAACAGAAATTAAATTGTGTTGGAAATGCTAAATATTCAGTATCAATAGTTTGAAATAGTGACTCCCCTTGCATATAAAATACATAAGAAAAATACCAAGGGAGAATTGCATAATTTTTATATTTAAATAATAAGAATTTGAAAACTGTGAATTGCAAATTAGATTAATTAAGATCTTAAATGTATGTAGATTTTAAGCAAAACTATTCCCTCCTTTGTAAGACTATTAACATATAAGTTGAAAGTGCCTGGTGTAACCAAGCATGTAAACAGAAAATTTTGTTAATTTTTAAAAGACATTTTAAATAATTTGTACCAGGTAAATGATAATAATGGATTCTCAGAAATAATAAATTCTGAAAATAACCTACAAGGCTTTGCATATTTTTATCTATTTTTTTTTAAATTTAACAGGCTTTTCTTTTTTGTCTATAGTTTAAAAAGTCATAATTGCAATACACAAGTCACATATATTTTAGCTTTAAAAAAAAGAGAAATAATTTGTCTTACCTATTGTTCCAAATACTTTTAAAAAGATCTAAAGACTCTCTTAATCGATTCTGAGTAGCATCTTCTCGTAACACCATATTGTATCCACTACAAGCTGTAACAAAGATGATTGCTGTCACATCATTAAAACACTGAATCCATTTACGTCTTTCATCTCGCTGGCCTCCTACATCAAACATGCTACAAGAAGATAGGTTAGAAGATCTATCATCAGTATCAGTGAACTGTAGTGTTTTTAATATTATCTAGAAAAAATGTTCTTGTCATAGTGTCTTATAAAAAAGCAATTGATTTCATGATAACATTTTTCTTATCCTTAACTAAAACTAACTGGTATTATTACAACATAGAATTAGCTTCCATCTAATCAAGAGATTTTCAAACGTGAGGACAAGTGACAATAATTGATAGGAAGGCTCAAATAGAATACTCACTGAAAATTCACTTTATCCACACTGAACTTTGTTTCAAATATCCCTGATGTTAGCACACGACATCTAAGTATATCTTGTTCAGAAGGAGTGTATTCTGGTTGCTTTATTAAGTGAACTCTATCTAAAAAACTGTAAAATAAGATTAAAAAAATCTTTTAAGAAAATGTAGAATGGTGACATTCTTTTTTTTTCATTCAAGTTTCCATTGCTTTAATTAGGTATAAGAATGCTTTTTTTAGACTAAGGCAATGGTTTCATTAATCACAAGTCTATTCTCAGTAATCTAGTCCCACCTGCAGAACTAAAGGGTAGAAATGTTAAGTGAACCAGCAGCCTCAAATTTAAAAAAGATGCATGCTTAAACCTAATATAAGAACAATGTACGTGATGATTAACAACATAATTAATGCTACTTGTGGTACTGACCAATAACTGAATTGACTAAAAGCCAATCTCTAGCCAGTGTCTATGAATGTTGTCTGCTTACTTTCTAAGTCTTCAATGATTTGTTCAACTATTAAAAAAAAAAAGTTTTATACATTCTGGGACCCCATAAAAAGAGGGTCGATTGGAGTTTAGTACAGTAGTATGTTTCGGTAAGGTAATTGTATAGTCATTATTTTGTGCTATTACTTTGTTTACTTTGAACAATTAATATACTACCAACCCACTTACAAAGGAGTTGTCAAGTTTCACATTATATCCAGTGTAAGGAGAGAGCCAGATAGAGAGATGTAGCAATGTTTTATACTCTAGTCACTTTTAAGACCTCAGTATTCCTAACTAATAACAGAAAAAAAAAAGTATAGACCTATTTGACAATCTGATGTTCAGTTCATAAACAAGATGACAAACCCGCCTCAATTCTGATAATCACAACTGTCATGTGATCTCAGCACACTGGC